AAAAAAAAAAAAAAAAAAAAAAAAAAAAAAAAGCTAATACAGTTTCTGTGTGGTTATTTCTTGTCTGAGCGGTGTCTGAGCGGCCAGGAAACAAGCAAGTGACCTCCTACTACATGTATGTGCATGTGTCCTGGTTTCTATTTCATCATTTCTGTGTGGGAACACTGATATGAGTAAGGCAAAGAAATGGAACTCATGTAACCCAAGCTGGTCTAACTTACTGGGTAGCTCAGGCAGGATGGCCTTGAATTCCTGCTTGACCTGCCCCTGCTTCCCAAGTGTTGAGATTGCAGGCATGTACCACCCCATCTAACATCTTCTTTTCTCCTAATGCGGGTGAGTGCTACACTGGGACCAGAGCCAGGCTTTATCCTGTTGACAGTGTTACTTGGGGGAAGGATGGCTTCTCAGACAGTTCTAGGACATGACATTGCCTTTGAGGAATTTTTTATTTGATCACCCTGCCTCCCAGAAATTAGATTTGTTCTGACATGAATGTTACTATCTATCTTTTAGGAACAGATATATATTTAGAGTCTCTGTCTCCTCCTACTCTCTCTCTCCCCCCTCTCTTTCCGTGTATATGCATGCATGTGTGCACTGAAACCTGCAGAGTTTTTATTATCAACACATTATTTGTGTAACAGTTACAGAAAGAATTGTAGATAGGCTTAGTATCATTAGGATTCAATGCTTAGAAGCAAACTTTTGGTACAATGGATTATCAATTTGTCATTTTTACATAGAAGCTTTTTTTCATTGTAGGGATTTTTTTTTTTTTTTTTGAGAATGGGTTTCTCCATGTAACCCTGGCTGTCCTGGAATTTACTCTGTAGGCTAGGCTGATTTTGAATTCAGAGACTGACCTGCCTCTGCTCCTGAGTGTTGAAATTAAAGGTGCGCCACACCTCCACCCGATTGAACAGATTCTTTGTAAGGTCACAAATACCTTTTTTCCCCCTGTTTTTCTTGTCACATCTTAACCCAAAATTTACTCAAGTTTATTCATATGTCTTTGTGTGAATTGTATTTGATTAATTAAAAGTGCTAGTTAGATGTGTCCATTAGCCTAACTAGTACAATTTTTCTTCCATCTATAGCTCTACTCAAATGAAAAGCACTGAGAGGCTAAAGTAAAAGGTTTGCTGTGAGCTCCAAGCCTGCTTGGGCTAGAGTGAGACCCTGTCTCAAACAAACAATGTCAGATGTGGCACATGTAGGCAGGCAGATTTCTGTGAGTTCTGGGATAGCTAGGAATACATGAGAGGTTCTGTCTCAAAAAAAAAAAAAAAAAGAAATCGGGGTGGGGAGCAAATATCAGACGGTTACTTTGTCAGTAAAGAAGGATAACAAACACATGGGGGTCAAATACATGGGTTGGGGAGCAAATATTAGACCGTTACTTTGTCAGTATAGAATGACAAACACACAGTTGTTTTTGTTCTTTTTGTGCAGTTCTGGTTTTGGAGACACCTTCATGCCACGTGGGCTGGACTTGAACTCACGCACAACTAAGGCTGGCCTTGGACTGACATTCTTCCTCTCTCTGCTTACAAAGTTCTGGGATTCTAAGTGTGCACTACATTTGATTTGTGAAGCAATCAAGCCATTCTCAAGGGAAATCTTTGTCCAAGAGTTAGTCCCTGAAGCCCTTTTACCATAAACAGGCACTTGGTTGAGTGCCTATTTAAGGCTGACTAACCTTCCCTTCCTTTTTCAACAGGAATTCAGTATTATGACTCACTTTGTTTTTCAAACTTAAGTCCCAGGCAAGTCTTCCTGTGTTAGATCCTGCGCTTGTTGAGGCTTTGTTTTTCCTTGACTTTTGTTGTTGTCTTGTTTTATTTTTGAGACAGAGCCTCACACAGCCCAGACTAGCCTCAAGGTCAAGCTGAGGATGACCTTGAACTTCTTGACCCTTCTTCCTCTACCCCCCCCCCATGCTAGGACTATAGGTATGCAGGCGTGCATCACCGTGTTGGTTTTTTTTTTTTAAAGATTTATTTATTTATTTATTTATTTATTTATTTATTTATTTATTTATTTATTGTGTATACAGTATTCTGCCTACATTCATGCTTGCAGGCCAGAAGAGGGCACCAGATCTCATTACAGATGGTTGTAAGCTATCATGTGGTTGCTGGGAATTGAACTCAGGACCTTTAGGTGAGCAGGCAGTGCTCTTAACCATTGAGCCATCTCTCCAACCCCCACCATGTTGGTTTTATGTGGTGCTGGGAGTCAAACCTGTTCCAGGCAAATGATCCATCAACTACTGAGTTAAGTTCCTAGCACACACTCTCTCTCTCTCTCTCTCTCTCTCTCTCTCTCTCTCTCTCTCTCTCTCCTCTCTGTATGTTGTTTTGGTGCTAGATAGAGAGAGATTGAATATAGGAATTTGTACATACTAAGCAAACCCTGTAGATGGAAGTTTCTGTCCCATCCAGTTCTGCAGTCATTCAGTCACAAATAAACACACAGAGGCTTATATTAATTATAAACTGCTTGGCCTATTAGCTCAGGTCTCTTATCAACTAGCTCTTACAACTTAAATTAACCCATAATTCTTTCTTATCTATGTTTAGCCATGTGGCTTGGTACCTTTTCTCAGTCTGGCATTCTCATCTTGCTTCCTCTGCATCTGGCTTATGACTGCCTCTCTGCCTTTCCTCTTCCCAGAATTCTCCTAGCATGGTGGCCCTACCTATACTTCCCGCCTGGCTACTGGCCAATCAGTGTTTATTAAACCAATATGAGTGACAAATCTTTACAGTGTACAAAAGCATTATCCCACAGCAAAACCCTCTACCACTGAGGAGCTCCATACCTGCCTTTTGATATAGGGCCTCATTAAATTGCCCAGGTTGGTCTTTTATTTACTCTATAGCCTAGGCAGGCATAAATTTGACATCCTTCTGCTTCAACCTCCCAGACAGCTGGGATTACATTCCTATGCCACAGGGCCTACCTTCAGTTTTCATGGCTTCCGAATTCCACATCCAATTATTAGGACCTTTCGATTGCTCCCCATTCATTACCTTCCAATTCCTACGAGCTGAACATACAGGGCCACTTTATTCCAAGAATTCTGAGGCACATTTCTTTGGAACCAGATGCGCCAGCAGGTATATGATGCTTTGTAGAATCACCAGTAGATACGGAGCCACAGGACTTGGCAATTAAGAAAGTCTTTCTGGAGCTCAGTGTTTTGAGCTAACTGCCGTGAAAGAACAAGGAATGGAAGCTGAATTCATTCATTACTTATTTATTACGAAGGAAATACCAAGATCTGGGGACGATCTCAGAGTGAAATATTGGCTCTCTCCTTAGTGTGGCTAATGAGAGAGGAAAGGCGACATTACCAAAGAGATCATAGTTCCTGTCTAATGATGCTGCATTTATTGTGATAACTTTAAAGAGGTTGATCTAAGAAGAAAAGATTGTGCTGAGACAAGGTGGGGGAACTGAAGAAGTAATGGTGGACGGGGTTAAGCTGAAGCAGAGCTACTGCAGATCACAGTGCAAGCAGATGGGTAAATGGGAGGTCAGAGAAGTCTGGAAAGGCCAGAGAAGGGAGGAAAGACGGTGCTACAGATAAACTACAATTCCCAGGAAGCACTGTACGCTCACGGACGGAAGTGAGGTGAGGCGCGAGCCTCAACCTTTGAGGGAAAGAGGAAGTGCTTGGGCGTCGCAGGGCCGGAGGCGCGGGGATAGGTAGGTAAGGGCGCGGCGCGGGAGTCTGGCGGGCCTGGGCTGCGGGAGCCACGGCGGGCGGGAGCAGGGCCGCCGCGTCGTCACAAGGCGACAGCCGCCAGCCCGGCGGGCAGCTGGGCAGGCAGAAGGCAGCGGGAGGCCTTGCCACCCGGTAATCAGTCCCCTCCCGGCGTCTCTTCTGCAGAAGGAGCACCATGTCCGCGGAAGTCCCCGAGGCAGCGTCGGCGGAGGAGCAGAAGGTGAGCGTGCGGCGGTGGCTCGGCGGGGCTGAGGGAAGCCGGTGTGGCTGGGTCCTTGGCCGGCGGGCCTGCGGGAGCGCGGCCCGACGGAGCCTTCCGCTGGAGGCTACCTGCCTGGCGACACCACACGAGGCGGTCGGTTCCCCCCGCAGCCGGGGCCCCCCGGAGGCTCGGACACCCAACGCTTCTCCCCGGTGCCTCGGTGTGTCACTTGAGTATGTGAGGGAGGCAGGCCTCGGGACCATGCCAGGGACCCAAGTTTTATAGTGAGCTTTTTATTTGCTTAGGACGTTGGTTTCTCCCGGAAGCGCTCCGACCACTTGTAAGCTTGCTGGTAACCCCCCAAGCGGTGTCTCCGTTCAGGGGGGCGATGCAGATCTAGATCAGGATGGTGAGCCGCGCCGCCCCCATGATCGGTGTCGGTAAAGTCCAGGTGATAGTGTCCGCTTCCCACGACTGCTGTGAGGCCCAGCCGAGATCATGGAAACCTGGCACAACCCGGGCTCACAAATGCTGGCTGCCGGGGTTTGCACCTGACTAAAATTCGAGAATTGGATGGAGCTTTACAAATTTTCACTACTCAGGTATTTCTCGAAACATGGGGATGCTTTTGTCAGCTCATTTGTTTTCTCTGACGAAGAAAAACGAGCTAGCCTTCCGTCTAGGAATACGAGGCCTGTGTGTTTTTCTGGGCTCTTGCCTGCCCATTCCATCGTAGTTGTTAATTGTTCCGAGGCCTTGCCTTCCTGGGTACTTGGAATCAGTTAGCTAAGAAAGGAGAACAGTCCTTGGTCTCAGTTCTTACATTGTTTTAGGGTGAGTTCCCAACATTTTTTCTTAAAAAAAAAAAAAAAATCAAACTGCGCCTTTCATCCCAGCACTCAGGCAAAAAAGGAGGCAGATGTCTGTGAGTTCCAGGCCAGCTGGAGCTCCATAATGAGACCCTGTCTCAAATTAATTAATGGATGATTAATAACAAGCTGCTTTACTGTAAATGAGATTTGGTCTACTGTCTAAACTTTCTTAGGACTTATACTTAATGTTGCCGTGTAGATTAGTGCTCTGTGCCCGTCCCGTACCTTCTTAAGCACGTCAACTTTTCCTGTGTAATTTCTTCCATGTGATAGTTCCGTTCTGACAATACTTGTAAATTAACTGATGAAAAGGAAAACAAAGATAATAAAGAACACGTTATTTGGTTGTATCCTTTGCAAGAAGAAAGATTTCTTCCTTCCTCCTTCCCTTTTTCTTTCTGCAGTAGGGGCCTCTGGGGCAGCCTAGGCAAGGAAGGGCTTTACCTCTGAGCTCTATTCCTGGGGTCCCCTTCTGCTTTTGTGAGAACAGCAAGTGAGAAGAAAGAGAATATGCGTGTGCAGGGCAAGCGCTTTACTGACCCAGCCCCTGCTGTCTTTTTGGGACAAGAACTGGTGTGGCTCAGGCTAGCTAGAGCGCGTGGCCCTGAAACTATTGGTTGGTTACCATGCTGGCCCTAATCTTTTTGTTTTTAGTTTTTAAATGATCTCACTAAGTTGCCCAGACAAGCCTTGAATTTGGTGATCCTCTAGGCTCAGACACCAAGTGACTCAGGTTATTGTAAACCTGTGCCATGAGGGCCAGCTGAGTAATGAATTTTGGAAGCCAAAAAAATTAAATAAAATGCATACAGTTTAAGGATTATAGTCTGAACAGTAATCTTAAATATTACCTGTTCATATTGTAAGCTTTAATGTATTCAGAATTGTTTAGGATTTAGGAACTCAAAGCTCATCTCTATCTTGTCTTAAATATACTGAAATAAATCTTGGTTTTAATTTGATACATAATGCTGTGGGAGGTGTTTTTTTTTTTTAATTTATTGTATGTTGGGGGTGTTTGTGTAGAGGTCAGAGAATAACCTGCAGGAGCTGGCTTTCTCCTTCTACCATGAGAACTCCAGTATTTGGGTTGTCAGCATTGGTGGCTAGCGCTCCCGCCCATTGAGCCGTCCTGCTAGCCCTTATTTAATTATTTTTCAGGCAGGGGCTCACTCTGTAGCCCTTGCTTGCCTTTGATGTGAAGTGCTCCTCTGGCTTTAAACCTCCCAAGTTCAAGGATTACAGTCCAGCTGCCACTACACCCAGCTAAAATAATTTTATGTGACAGGATTTGTTAGTATGTTGCCAAAGTTTTAAGTATTGCTTTCTAGGGTATAAATACTTTTGATTAAAATAGCCTAATATAATACCTAATATCAAGGATAATTTTAATGTTTTCTCTTTAAGATTTTTTCTCTTTAAGCATTTTTAAGGTCTTTGTTTCTAGCTAATGTCATTAATATAAATTAGAGGGTGTTGGGAATGTGATGTTCCTTTTTGAATTGAAGAGTGGCTATAGATTTTAAGTGCCTGAGGCATGAACACTATCCTTAAACAAGAGGAAAATGTGCAAAGTCGCTTCTGTGTTCTAGTGAGCCAAATCACCTGTTTCTTCTATTTGGAAGAACAGTTACATGACCTAAAAAGTTGATTATTGTCTCTGTTCCCATTGACCTTTCAATTATAGCCAAAGTATTCAGTTAAAAATACTTTTAAGGTTTTTGTTAGCTTGTTGTCTTTAAAAGTTTAAGATAGCGGGGCCCTGCAAGGAATAGGACAAGGTCACTGTTTCTACCCCTGATAAATGGCACACACTCATGTTAACAGAAGAAATACACAGACCAATGGTTATAAAATTGAAAGCAAATTTTTTTTTAAAGAGAAGGCAATCAGATAGGCATGAGCATAAAAACACAGGTATCTGTTTCTTTGTATCAGTCTTAAACAGAAACACAGCCTATGTATAAACTATTCATTATATCTGGTATTGTGCTGAAACTAAATATATTGAGAAATGGTAGCAGTTGTTAAAAGTTAACTACCCCATTGGCCATGTGATGACTAAGTTCTCCTTTTAACATAAGCTGTGAGGTCATTTAACTATTTAGAACTGAAGATAATTTTAAAATTAGTTCTAGCTCGGCATAGTGCTTCACACCTAATAATCCCAGCAGTCAGGAAACAGAAGCTGTCGAGTATAATACAGTGAGCCCATGGTGATAAAGCATAGAAACTTTAACTTTGATCCACTTTAGAAATATGAACAAGACTAAATACATAATGCTTATGTGCGTTTGGGCTCAGGTTGGGTTTTTGTTGTTTTGTTTTGTTTTGTTTCTTTAAGATGCCAGTAGCAGGTTTCTAGAGATTATTTTACTCAGGCTAGGTGAAGTGGCTTAGACTGATTAGCTGAAGTAGAGCTCCCAACTGAAATACTCTATTAAAGAACACCTGGCCAGGCTGGAGAGGTAGTTAAGAACACTGGCTGCTCTTCCAGAGGAACTGGTTCTATTCTCAGCACCCACATGGTGGCTCACCACCATCTGTAACTCCAGTTTCAGAGGATCTAATGTCTTCTTCTGACCAGGGTACATGAGTAGTATACAGACATACGTGCAGACAAAATACACAAACTTAAAAATAATTATTTTTAAAAAAGATACAGGCCAGGTGTGTAGCACACACTTTAAATCCAGTACACTGGAGACAGAGGCAGGCGGGTCTCTGAGTTTAAGGCTAGCCTGGTCACATAGTGCATTCTAGAACAGCCAGAGCTATGTAGAGAGACCTTATCTCAAAAATAAACGAGCAACCCCCCTCCCCCATACAAATATATATCAAGGCCTGGTGGTTTTGTTCATGGTGTAAAAAGAAGAGAACTGTTACATAGATTTGCAGTGAAAAACCTCCTGTTCTCTCAAGGGCTGCCTATTGGTGGATTGGGGGGGGGGGTGACCTTGCACAGTCCAGGCTGGGGGTAAGTTTATCTTCCCGACTGTCTGCCACAGGATGAAGTCCAAGCTCACCAGCTCCTTTCATCACATTCTCTTGCTTCATCTTCTCTTGCCCACCTGTTCCATTCTCTTACTGATGCTTCCTTCATCCTTAGACAAAACCTGCTTGCCTACATCTTTGTGTGTCTAAATCCTACATGCCTTTTCTGTAATCAGAGTTATGCTTGATTACATGTGGCAGGAAGATGAAACTAATAGTAGTTTAAACAAGATAGAAGTTAGTTATTTTTCTCTCTTGACAAAGAAGCCCAAAAGGCTAGCCCAAGGACTGGGATAGTGGTTCTGAGGTTTTCAAAATCCTTATGTCCTTTGTTGCTGCTCCACCATTCTTAGCACCTCAGTTCTTACTGCAGTATGGCTGCTTCAGTTTCAGACATTTTAAGCTCATTAAACCATGAGAAAGGACACAGAGGGCAAAAACTGTATTCTCTTCTTCATGGGAGGCTTCTTAAATCTTGCACATGACATTTATCTCTCATCGGCTGTTTGTTTTAATGTGTATGGGTGTTTTGTCTGCATGTATGTCTGTGTATCTGTGTGCTGCTTGGTGCCCTGGAAGGTCAGGAGAGTGCATCAGATCACCTACCTGGGACTGGAGTTAGAGACCATTGTGAGCCACCTTGTATGTGCTGGGAGTTGAATCCAGGTTCTCTGGAAGAGCCATTGCTTTTAACCACAGAGCCATCTCTGATGTCTTCTAATAATACATTTTCCTGAACATCCCTAATCATATGTGTAACATGACTGTTTCCTTATATCAGTGTTTAGCAGTACACGTAAATTTGCGGCCCCACCCCCACCCCCTGTTTTTAAAAAATTCTAGTTAATCTTGATATTTTTGGTAGGCTTAATAGTGTTCTTTTTTTCTATCCAGACAGATTTCTCTCTTGTTTGTCCAGTGGGGTCTCCTATCTCAGACTGGCCTTGAACTAAAAGGGTAATCAGGATGAGTTTGAACTCCTTGCCTCATTACTTGTACCTCCTGAGTACTGGGGTTTCAGTCATGTCCCATCTTGTGGTGCTTGGGAGGAAACCCAGAACCTTGTTAATTACATTTCCAGCTCTACCAGCTTGTTAGATTTGCTTCTGTAGTATGTGTAAGATTTGTACTTTGTAACTTAGATTCCTGAAC